ACCGCTGTGAAGGTACACTGACGGGTACGAAGAGTTCGAAGGTTTTACTTCTTTTCTTAAATTTCTTTATAATTTTCAATATAATATCTATTTTTTGTCTGTCTGTAGGACTGTGTGTCCCTCCCATCCACACATTGCATCGCAGATGTGCCGGTTGCAACTAATTATCCTGTCCAAGTGCTAATGGGCCGTCATCCCTGAACAGTCAACTTTGCAATCAGAGCCACAGTTTATTTTAATGCATGTGGCCGATGATGTGGGCCAGAAACATACAACTATTGACCACATACAGGTATTATTTCATATCTTCTAAAAAATTCCCAACTGCGACACACGCTACCGTCTTCACCCGAATATAACGCCCTGTCATTATAGCTATATTTAGGGCACTTTTTTCAGTCCAGTGTGCAGCGATAATGACCGGGGCGTTCTATTCGGGTGAAGACGGCAGTCTCAACCAGAAAACGGTGAAACATGCAAAACCCCACCACCACTTGCAAAATCTCTCTCTCTCTCTCTCTCTCTCTCTCTCTCTCTCTCTCTCTCTCTCTCTCTCTCTCTCTCTCTCTCCCCTGTTGCCTTTTTCTTGATTCTGCCTTGAGTTGAGCAGCTTCAATAATTGTTCGACATGCACTGCCACATCAGAAGCTTCAGAACATGCCAGTAAATTCTTTAAAAAAAAAATGCCAGTAAGAATTCAAGCTGCGATTACACAGGAGACTTCAGTCAGCGACTGAGTATACAAATCAACTGTGTTCGTCACCGTCGCCACCTCAGACGACTGCCAGTCATAGCCTGTGATATCCCTTCATTTCATGTCTCTTTTCTACCCACAGTTTTCTGTTTTTTTTTCTTTCCCTTTTGTTATATCTGTCACATGTCACAGTTTACACTTCAATGTCAATGCACTCAACCTTGCAGAGTATACCCCACTGCCATTTTGCATTTGTGCCAAGTGTCTATCACTCTATATATCTTCTACCTCTTTCTCCTTCTTCTTACTTTTATTAGGCTCAAAGCCTTAAGCCGCCAGTTCACACGAAGCAGAATAGGGATCTTAGTAGCATCTTACGGATACACGCGACAAGAGGATTTCCGATTCGAGCCTGGGCCGGTAGCGAAAGCGGCAGAGGCCACTTCGAAAAGGCGCAGCTGCAGGGGCTCGCTAGCCTCGGAGCAGTGATAGCTTTGTCAACGTACGCTCGTGTGAACTGGTGGTTTAATAAATTTCTGCTGATTTTGTGCTGAATTTGTGCTAACTTGGCAAGGGCAACCAAGGAGCTAACCAGACTCATGAGTTCCCTGAGCACAGACATAAGGCCACTAAAGCCCAAAAAGCCTACTGGCTCTGGAATGAGATGCCTATTCAATCGTACGGAAGCCCTGTTCAGTGTTTTCTTCTTTTTTTTCTTTTTTTTCTTTTTTTCTTTTTTTGTTTTTCCCAAAGCGCCACTACCTTTCTCGTATGCGGGGCCGCGGGCCTCAACTTCAAATTCGGCCGCGACGCGCTGTCGATGACAAATATAAACGCGGCGATGCGGCGGCTATTTTTCAAGAGTAGGCTATTAACTAGATGCCCGCGGAAGACATATGGGAAAAAGGTAGTGGTGGTTTAAAGGACCTTACGAAGTACTGGCTCCTTATCTATTGTCGGGAGCGTCAGCCCGGTTCCTATGCAGTCGGCAAGTTGAAAGGATTCACGAATGTTGTCTTCTACCCAAAGCTCCTCCCCATTATGGTTGGAAGGCCCGAGTGGACCGGTCATGGGTCATGGGGATTGATTATGAAGCTATGTGTCATTAACAGGCATCTTCTGAAATAGTTCCTTCCTTGAAGTGGGTGGTCAGTATGCAGCTCAAGGAAGGAACTATTTTAGAAGATGCCTGTTAATGAAGAATCCTTTGGCGTACGTGCCCAAAGGATTCACGGCCGCCCAACAGATTCAGCAGACTCCATAAAGAATTCTCAAAGCAGCTGTGTCCTGTAACCTTGAGCTCAGAAATCTGTGGCACAAAGCCGCGCTCCTACTCAAAGCAGCTGTGTCTGTCACCTTGAGCTCAGAAATCTGCGGCACGTACGCGCGCGCGCTCCTGCGTTCCGAAAAACACACGGATAATATCATTTTGAATTCTTGATTCATTGGGTCCTCTGCCATGCCACGCTGATCGTACAAACACAGACAGGCAGAGACTAGTAGACTACCCTCTCTCTCTCTCTCTCTCTCTCTCTCTCTCTCTCTCTCTCTCTCTCTCTCTCTCTCTCTCTCTCTCTCTCTCTCTCTCTTTTCTTTTTTTTCTTTTAACAGACTACCCAAGTGCGGCAAATGGAAAATCGGCATGGGCCGTGCATCGCATAACAAACCAGGTTGCAACTGTTACTACCGTCTTCACCCGAATAGAATGCCCAGTCATTATTGCTGCATCTGGACTGAAAGTTGGGCCAAATGCAGCTATAATGACCGCGCATTCTATTCGGGTGAAGACGGTAGGATCAAGCTCATCATTGCAGTTCCTCACAACGCCATGGACGATTTTCCGGGCATCACAGACCTGGAAAAAAAACAAACACAGTGCTTCTCCCCACGAACAGAATGGACTGTCACCGGAGCCATCGAAAATCGCAAACTCCCAACTGGCAAGCTAGTTGTCTGCAGCTGACGATGTTTCAAAGAGGAAAAGTCGGAAAAGTCGGAAAAGTCGGAAAAGTCGGAAAAGTCGGAAAAGTCGGAAAAGATGAAATGCCTCCTTGTCTAAAGTGCTGGTCGCGGAGAGCAGACATTACACATCCATACATCACGTCCATTATTCACATCGCTGGGCTTCAAGGACGGAAAAAAAAGAGGGGGAAAGAAAAACAGAGACTTCCATTGAGGAAGCGACCTTCACAAGAGAGACTCAAAGTTGCAGCTGCAGCAGCCAGTTATCAGCGTTAAGATCCCTCCCAACTGCGCAATTGCGGCATGCACAAACAACATTATCTTCACAAAGGCAGCAACTGACAACAGCAGCGGTACTTGCGGTACGCCCACCATACCAGCAGTACCAGCAGTACCCTTGCAGTACCAGCAGTACCTGCAGTACCTGCAGTACCAGCAGTACCCTTGCAGTACCAGCAGTACCAGCAGTACTATCGCAGTACCAGCAGTACTATCGCAGTACCAGCAGTACTCTCGCAGTACCAGCAGTACTCTCGCAGTACCAGCAGTACCAGCAGTACCAGCAGTACCAGCAGCAATAACAGTGGCACACAACAGTGAAATGCCTGACAGCAGACACTCTCACACAGCAGTTGAACAAACCGTCACTGCATGTAACGGGACAGCCGTGCGGGCGGTCCCGTCGCTCTCGAGAAGGAAGAGATGAGGTGGAAGGTGGAGATGGTGGAACGGAGAGAGGCAGCACCATCTCCTCCGTAGTCTCAACACGCACGTACTCCAAAGCTGTGCAGATGAAGAATGAGCAAAAGTACAGACTGCAGCTGGGCTATACCCCCAGCGGACCAACTGGACTGGACTGGACTGGACTTTTGCTCATTCTTCATCTGCACAGCTTTGGAGTACGTGCGTGTTGAGACTACGGCGGAGATGGAGCTGCCTCTCTCCGTTC